TTTTAAGTCGGTTTAGAGGCGCTGTGGGCTTTATCCCCGTGTGGTTTTATTTACTTTCAGTGTGTTTTGTGCTAATGGTTTAACTGGATTTTAGGAATGAAAAGGAGCATCTGTTTGCGATCTGTGAGCTCCGCTTAAGCCCAAGATGGTTGTGGTGGCCGCAGTTTCGGATTTCACTTTCTTCTTACTAGTTAAAAGGAGCATTTGCAATTGCGTGTGTGTGTATTCTGTGCATAAACTATATAAATAAAACCATAAACTATATAAATAAACTGCACGTCTAAATGGTCATATAGTTTTATAAACACACACACACAGAGGCAGACACGTATCTAGTCCGCACACACAAAGACCTGTGCCCGGAATGTAAGACTGGAGCCGCTGTCGAGATCCTAGGAGGGGATGGCAGCGGGGTAGTTTGCTCTCCCTGCAAAGTGACAGGGAAACTACTTGCTTTCTGTCTGTAAAATACGGTGCATAAATTGTCGTGCAGTCTTTATTCGGGGTGGTATAAAAGATCTGAGGATCTCGCTTGCTTGTTTTTCCTGTTGAGAAGCAGAAGGCGAGTAGCTGGAAGTTGCAGCGAGGTTGTGAACTGTGCGGGATATTGGGTGATATCGCGCCTGTGACTCGCCGATCTGTGGGATTCAGGGACGTGCTGAAAGTTAGCGAGTTCCTTAGCGATATCTTTAACTTTTCTTGCATTATGCAGACTTAAATAAGCGCAATTTGAACGTTAAAGGGCGAATTAAAATGCTAATTACATCGCATTTGAACAATTCGAAACGGTGCATATCTTCTGATTTGCAAATTGGATTTGCAATGCATTAGTGCAGTGAATTGCTAAGTGGCGGCTTTGTTGTATTTTCTATAGCAAAAAAGGAAACATCTTTTGAACCTTTGAGAAAAATGTAGATATCAAGACACTACCTGTAGGGCCTTTAAAATGTCTGCGCGGTTCAAAAATTATATTGGGAAATATTCAATTACAAGGAGCTGAAATTAGTCAGAAAGATTAAAACATCGCCGATTTTCAGCGCGTGTGCCTGTGTCTGTGTGCTGGGCGGAGGAAGGGGGGGGGGAATCGCAACTTAATGGCCTTTGGGTGCTGCTTCTCCCCCTCATAGAATATGGATACAAGACACCATCCCGGGGAAATACAAATATAACCGCCGATCTCGCCTTGACAACTTACTAATGGCTATCAGCAATAACAAACTGCCAACCCCACCGTTTTGTTCTGTCCAGGGCTCCCCTTACGATGCCCATACGACGGGGATGACCGGAGCCATCAGCTACCACCCGTACGGCAGCCCTGCCTACCCCTACCAGCTCAACGACCCCGCGTACAGGAAAAACGCCACCCGCGACGCCACGGCCACGCTGAAGGCCTGGCTGCAGGAGCACCGCAAGAACCCCTACCCCACCAAGGGCGAGAAGATCATGCTGGCCATCATCACCAAGATGACCCTCACCCAGGTCTCCACCTGGTTCGCCAACGCCCGCCGGCGGCTTAAGAAAGAGAACAAGATGA